GCTTACTTTTGGTGGTATTTAATCACCTCAGGGATTTTTATTTTTTCTTAAACAAACCAAAAACCGAAAACCCTTTGACAAAGCGCTATCGCTCGAAACGCGTCTGGGTCAGGCTTCAGCTGTTTGACGCATACACCGCCGGCACCACGAGGGGCCCGGCGGTAACTTCATATAGGGTCAGTATTTTTATTTTCTCCATACCTTGTATTTGCTGTCTGTGTGTGGGAATAAATGTACCCGTAAGACATACTGCACTATTGGCCTCCTTTGCTTTTTTCTGAGCTCCTGTGGGAGCCAAGTGTCTTGGAGAGTGGTGATCATTTAAGGAGAAGGCTGATTGCAAGGTGTTGGACAAAGAAGGGGACCTGACCAGACCCTGGATGAGGGATTGGAGATCTTATATATTAGAGAAAAGCGCATAAAGGTTGCGCATTTGGTGAGTGCGCAATTTGTACCCCCATTGTTTCACCGTGTACACAGTCGGTGTTGCCTGGAAAGCATCAGAGTGTTTGAGAATTTATTCACATCCTCACATTGAACTTTCTCTTGGATTTAATAATCCTTTCCTCACGTTCTACCAGACACAACGTAGTGGCTTATACCTGTATGCACTATGTCACTTTGAACTTTTATATGAGTTTGCATATGTAATACGTATTTTCATCTACTTGTATATTAGCGCTGCACCTTTTTTATATACTGTCTGTTGGGAGGTCTTATATGGTGCCTTTGGTGTACAGCTGCTGTTGTTTTGGAAGGCGCTCGCTTATTTATATGTTTTAAGTTTTAGGTCTTTGTAGTTGTAAGAGCCCCAAAAACCCAAGGCTGGAGACAGGAGGCTGATCTTCCAAATGCAGGGTAGATTCTTCAGAGACTAGGTCAGGCCTGGGGCTGTGATGGTGAGTCTTCAGAGACAAGGTCAGGCCTGGGGCTGTGATGGTGAGTCTTCAGAGACGAGGTCAGGCCTGGGGCTTGATGGCGAGGTCTTCAGAGACAAGGTCAGGCCTGGGGCTGTGATGGCGAGTCTTCAGAGACAAGGTCAGGCCTGGGGCTGTGATGGTGAGTCTTCAGAGACGAGGTCAGGCCTGGGGTTTGTGTTGGTGAGTCTTCAGACACGTGGTCAGGCCTGGGGCGGTGTCATAGCGAGTCTTCAGAGACAAGGTCAGGCCTGGGGCTGTGATGTGAGTCTTCAGAGACGAGGTCAGGCCTGGGGTTGTGTTGGTGAGCCTTCAGATATGAGGTCAGGCCTGGGGTTGTGTTGGCGAGTCTTCAGAGACAAGGTCAGGCCTGGGGTTGTGTTGGTGAGTCTTCAGAGACAAGGTCAGGCCTGGGGTTGTGTTGGTGAGTCTTCAGAGACAAGGTCAGGCCTGGGGGTTGTGTTGGTGAGTCTTCAGAGACAAGGTCAGGCCTGGGGTTGTGTTGGTGAGTCTTCAGAGACAAGGTCAGGCCTGGGGTTGTGTTGGTGAGTCTTCAGAGACAAGGTCAGGCCTGGGGTTGTGTGTTGGTGAGTCTTCAGAGACAAGGTCAGGCCTGGGGTTGTGTTGGTGAGTCTTCAGAGACAAGGTCAGGCCTGGGGTTGTGTTGGTGAGTCTTCAGAGACAAGGTCAGGCCTGGGGTTGTGTTGGTGAGTCTTCAGAGACAAGGTCAGGCCTGGGGTTGTGTTTGGTGAGTCTTCAGAGACAAGGTCAGGCCTGGAGCTGTGATGGTGAGTCTTCAGATACGAGGTCAGGCCTGGGGCTGTGATGTGAGTCTTCAGAGACAAGGTCAGGCCTGGGGTTGTGTTGGGGAGTCTTCAGATATGAGGTCAGGCCTGGGGCGGGGTCACTGCTCTGGACACAGAAAGTGCACTGCTGCTGACTTTACCAGCACACTGGGGTGTAGCGCAGCAGGGTCCAGGTGTGGTCTCCAAAGCTAGACTGAAGAAATGCCGATTCTACTATACAGAGACCAGCTCAGCTCTCTTAGCCAACATCTCAGGCCAGGAAGTAGAGGGTTACCCTGGGTGATGCCTGAACAAAGATGGAGCCATTCTTCTGGAGAAAAGCGCAGATTAACCATTAGCCGCCCAGCCTATAGCCGTTTGGCGGCTGCAAAAATGCTTCAGCTTTCCGGGGTGTACGCCATTTGGCGTACTCCCCCACACATGCGCAGTTCGTGCGGTTGCAGAGCCACGCAGCGGCGCGATCTGTCACCGGCCGTGTACCTCGGACACGGCCGATGACAGATCTGAGTACCGGCCCCCGTTGCCGGTACCATGTGACCTGCTGTGACCAATCACAGCAGGTCACATGACAGTTGTATACAGTGGATGGCTTCATTCATGCCATCCATTGTATACTAGTGCCTAGCTGTGAATGGTCACAGCAGGTCACATGCACATGTCATGTGATTAGCTGTGGCCAAATCACAGCTAAGCACAAAAAAAAAAAAAACCCTGAATGAATCGATGTCATTGAGGTAAATGCTTGTTTATAGAAAAGTAATTCTTTGCTAAAAGCAAATTGTGTAAAAAAAAAAACAAATACTGATCACTTCCCCAAAGTAGTACAATGTTACTATGGTAACATTGTACTACTTTGGCCATAGTAAACTATGAAAAAAAAAATCTTAAAAAAAAAAAAATGTAATAAAAAATTAAAAATAATAAAAAAAAATACAAAAAAAAAAATATAATTTTTTTTCATACTGTCACCAGTCAGTGTCCCTGATCACCGCCATGCCAGTTATATGATGACGCTGTACTGCACTGGTGACAGGATGTAAAAAAAAAAAATAGTGAAATTTTTTTTAATTATTTCATTTTCCGAAAAATTATGACAAAAAAAAATACAACTTCAAAAAACTCGCCATTCCTCTCATGAAGTACGTCGGACTGTCTACTCTGCAAAAAGGGGTCATTTGGGGGATATCCGTACTGTCCTGACATTTGGGGGATGTCTGTACCGTCCTGACATTTGGGGGGGTGTCTGTACCGTCCTGACATTTGGGGGGGGTGTCTGTACCGTCCTGACATTTGGGGGGGGTATCTGTACCGTCCTGACATTTGGGGGGTGTCTGTACCGTCCTGACATTTGGGGATATCTGTACCGTCCTGACATTTGGGGGATATCTGTACCGTCCTGACATTTGGGGGATATCTGTACCGTCCTGACATTTGGGGGATATCTGTACCGTCCTGACATTTGGGGGGATATCTGTACCGTCCTGACATTTGGGGGATATCTGTACCATTCTGACATTTGGGGGATATCTGTCCCGTCTGACATTTGGGGATATCTGTACCGTCCTGACATTCTTGGACCTCAATATTCAGATCTATCCCATAGTTTTGTGAACTCTATAACTTTCCTACAAAGTAAATAATACATCCTAATTTGGGTTATTTTCCCCAAAGACATGTAGCAGAATACATCTCGGCCTAAATTTATGAAGAACAATTATTTATTTGTAAACTTTTATAACAGAAACAAAGAAAAACGTGTTTTTTTTTCAAAATGTTTGGTCTTTTTTTGTTAATTTAGCAAAAAATAAAAACCCCGGCGGTGAGTAAATACCACCAAAAGAAAGCTCTAGTTGTGTGAAGAAAATGATAAAATTTTAGTTTGGGTACAATGTTGTATGACCGCGCAGTTGTCAAAGTGTGAGAGCGCTGAAACCTGGCCTGGGGGGAGGGGGTAAAATTACCCGGCCTTATGTCCTGTGATCTCTGAGAGGGAATAAATATCTGGACGGGTCACACAGACGCATTACTCGGCATGCTGCACTCATCATAAACAATCTGCGATGACAGGTTCACTTTATGCACAAAACTAGTTTTTTATTTTTTACAATTTAAATTATTATACAGAAAACCTTCCATAGGAAGAGGAAACATTTCCAAACATTTCAGATTCCTGCGCCCCTCCCTCAAGGGCGGACTTAGGGCAAATAAGCCCCTGACTTTGAAGGGGAATGGCCCCCCAGAATGAGTGAATGAATAAAGAATACCCAATCAGGTGCAAAGAAAAAAAACATTTTTGCTTGAACATAATTGGATAATGAAAGTCAGTGGTGCTTCCCTGAACCATTCACTAAGTGAAGGGAAACTTTCTGTACAAAGTCAGCAGCCTAATTGCCTAATTCAGTGAATCGCCCCCTTTGTGTCTTGTACAATGGAAGATATGTGACCATGTGGTGTCTTCAGGCCACGGATGGAGCGCTTGGTGTCAGGACTTCCTATACTCAGACCAGCGACCAGCGCTGACCCTGGGGATATTTCTGGGCTGTGTCCAGCAGGTGGCAGCAGAACCCCTGGGGATATTTCTGGGCTGTGTCCAGCAGGTGGCAGCAGAACCCCTGGGGATATTTCTGGGCTGTGTCCAGCAGGTGGCAGCAGAACCCCCCCTGGGGATATTTCTGGGGGCTGTGTCCAGCAGGTGGCAGCAGATTGTAGCCCAACGCTCTCCCAGCCTCTGATTTGCAGCCATTACCCCATGATAGTGAAAACTTCTTCAGATCCCAGAAGGACCCCGAGGCACCCTGGATCTCACCCCTCCAAGTCCACAGATCTCGCCCCTCCAGTCCCCGGCTGAGGCCCCCAAATCTCATCCCTCCAAGTCCCCGGATCTTGCCTCTCCAGTCCCCGGCTGAGGCACCCCGGATCTCATCCCTCCAGTCCCCGGCTGAAGCACCTCGGATCTCATCCCTCCAGTCCCCGGCTGAGGCACCCCGGATCTCATCCCTCCAGTCCCCGGCTGAGGCACCCCGGATCTCGTACCACCAAGTCCCCGGATCTCATCCCTCCAAGTCCCCAGATCTCGCCCTTGCAGTCCCCGGCTGAGGCACCCCAGATCTCGCCCTTGCAGTCCCCGGCTGAGGCACCCCAGATCTGGCCCTTGCAGTCCCCGGCTGAGGCACCCCAGATCTGGCCCTTCCAGTCCCCGGCTGAGGCACCCCAGATCTGGCCCTTCCAGTCCCCGGCTGAGGCACCCCAGATCTGGCCCCTCCAGTCCCCAGCAGAGCTATACAACCCCTCTCTGCTCCTCGTGTGAGCGATGGTGAAATGTGAAGGTCACAGCAGCATCCCATGCCTCCACCAAGACGGTATCCTGCAGGCCACGCTTGTCTGCGCAGTGATTCCACTGAGATAAGTCTGAGGTGCAGTCTGTGCCATCGGGGGGCGGCCGTACCTGACGTCCGTTCACACAGCGGCGACACCGGAACCTGCATCGACCAATCAGAGAACACCAAATGTATATGAAGACACAAACCCTACAAATAACCATCTTCCCAATTAGGGGGAACCTGTCCTGGCTGCCAGTGCTGACCTCCTCTTGGCTGCCATGCTCATGCTCTGGCTTTGTGTCATTGACCCAGAAAGAAAGCTGATCAGTTCAGACTTCAATGGCTGCATGCTTCTTCTACTACATTAATTGAAAATGATACCAGAGGATTGACCCAATAGCCAGGAAATCAGCATTTTCAGAAGCTAAGTAATGGTGGCCTCCATACTTCTCCCAACTACCAGGATTGCCGGCAGGGGATATGATCCCCCATCACAGGGACAAACACAGGACAACCCAGTAAAATCCCCACCCCACTCTAAATGAAGTACAGACTGCCCCCCCTCAGCTATAAGTACAGAGTGACCCTGGACTCACTTGTCATGAGTGTCGCTCGTCATCTCCTCGTTCAGTGTGAAGAGTTCCTTCAGTTCTCCGACAGAGAAATGTCTCTCCACGTCCTGCTCTTCGTCCACCACGCAGCTACTCAAAGCTTTCTTGTGTGTCTGACGCTGGAAGATCTTCTCCTCAATGGTTCCAGTCTAAAAGAGAAGACAAGCCATGTGTAGGTGGAGCTGCATGAAGATCACCAACCAGCCGGCTCTCATCCTCCTCCACTATTGGCTCCAGTCACAAGGATGGTCATGCGGCTGCAATTTCTATATTTCATTGAAAATAACTGACACTAAGAGATCCTTCTCTCTGGTGTAATCTCACTGGACTGAAAATAACTGACACTAATGCTGTCCTGGGAGCCCATAGAGGGACACAATGATTCAGGTACAGTCGGGTTATACCGCCACCTACAGGAAGAGCAGATATTGTCAAACAGAAATTATAAACCAGCCCCTGTATAACCCTCCTCTACCCAGCATGCCTCAATCTGTACAAAGAGAATGATAAGAAGAGGAGGAGACCGATGTCCCGCAGTGGACTCTCAGAAGATTTAGGGTTTTTGGTTGGCCTGTAACCATTTTTTCTGGTATTACATCAGAGAACAGAGATATTCATCACTATTTGGGTTCAGGCGATTGGAAACACAGAGGTCTCTACCCAGTATAATCCCTCCCAGCTGATCCAATGAGGAACCATACAGGAGGGGATGGTGGGATCTCTGTGTCCTGTGATGGACCCCAAATCCCCATGTAATTGTACATCTCAGGACACAGAGGAGTTACCGCTGTACATGGGATGTCCCAAAACTGAATAGGAGGGGCAACAAGGCCAACATGCCCAACATTCCCCAAACGGGAAAGCACCTTTCTCCCTAAGGAATGGGAAGCAATCAGTATCTGAAAAAGATTTGTGGAGATTTGTCCTTTGATGGTAGTCAAGGCCAAAGACATCTCCAATCAGACTGGAGGAAAGCCAGAATACACCCCCGACATACTGTTGAGGAGGAAAGTATGGGATTGCAGGCCAAGTGAAATAAGCCTTCCATGTACAATGGTACAACTTCCTAGAAGTCGACTTTCATGACTTGTGGAGGGTAAGGATGACAGTCAGAAACATCCTCATCCCTCGGGATTTGGGCTTCACCAGCTACGCCAACAAAGCCAGTGACTGTAAAACGGGATGGGAGAAGAAAACCTGAGAACACAAATCTGGCCCATCTGGAAGAGTCCACGGCTCATCTGCCAAGACATGAATTTGTACATTGTGTGCACAATTATTAGGCGAGTATTTCACCAAATCCTCAGTTTTCTGCACATTGTCCAACTCCAAGCTGTATAGACTTGAATGTTTATTGGATGTAAGCAGATCAGTTGATGTGTATTTGTGTAATGGGGGGGTGTGGCCTAAGGAGATCAACACCCTACATCAAGGTGCACATAATTATCAGGCAGCTTCTTTTCCTCGGGCAAAATACTTAACCGACTCTGAAAAGTCTTTCAGAGGGATGCGGCACTCTTGAAATAGAGAAGATATTGGGGCGTGGTCACAGAACCATCAAATAGTCAACGGTAGAAAGATAAAAAGACGCAATCTAATCACCAAAGATTTGCGCAGTCAAACTTGAAGCTACCTCCAGTGCTGTCATATTCCAGAACAGCCACCTACCTGGAGTCCTACCAGAAGTACAAGGTGTTCAGAGCTCAGAGACATAACCAAGGTAAGGAAGGATGAAACCCGACCACCACTGACCAAGACACAGGAGATGAAACGTCAAGACTGGGCCAAGAAATATCTGAAGTAAGGTTTTCCAAAGGTTTTATGGATGGATGAGATGAGAGTGACTCTTGACGGACCAGATGGATGGGCCTGTGGATGGATCAGTTATGGACACAAAGCTCCACTTTGACTCAAAGGCCAGCAAGGTGGGGGTGGGGTTCTGGTATGGGCTGGTATTAATACTACAGAATAATAATGATGCACACCTTGTAATAGGGTGTTGATCTCCTTAGGCCACACCCACCATCATTGCACCAATACACATCACCTGATATGAATACATCAATTAAGCATTCAAGTTTATACAGCTTGGAATTGGACAATATACATAAATATGATGATTCGGCCAAAACTCTCACTTGCCGAACGATTGTGCACAGCGTGTATATGACATGGATACCATGTTCTTCTTGGCTCAGTGGGTTCTACTAGAATTCCCAGAATGCCCTCCATTCATATTCTGCATAACAAACAAGAGAGTTGAGGTAGAGGGAAGGCAGAGACTGGAGAAAACTGATCCCAAACAGACCATCTACCGCAAACACCTGAGGATCTCCGGATCAGGAACCTTTCCAGTGTGTTACTGAATCTGGAAGCCAGAGATCCACATCTCTGCAAACCCCTCCAAGTGAACAGTGATCATACATATCCAAATCAAGTGACCTTCCAGCTGCCTTTACCTGGGCTCAGAGAGAGGCGCTCTTCCTGCTGAAGCAGTAGCCATGTCTGAGATGTATCCAGGAATAAACCCAAATATTCCAGGCTTTGGTTTGGAACAAAGGCTGACTTCTGAAGGCCAAACCTCTCTAGGACTCGTACCCCTATCTGAACACAGATGTCATTGTGCTCAAAGGTGCAGTAGACAAAGTATTCCAAAGTGGGAATCCTTCGGGTTCTCAACAATGACAGAACCGGAGCCAGCACCCTGGGAGCAGTGGACAGGCCAAGGGGTAACATTACAAACTGGTAGTGACGATCGTCCACCACAAAACCCAGAAATCAACGATGAGGCCAGAAAATCAGGATGTGTATTATTATTATTATTATACAGTATTTATAAAGCGCCAATAATTCGCTCAGCGCTGGTTAAGCTAGTTAAGCAACTTTTATCTCTACTGGTGCCTGGAAGCTCCCCTGATGAAGTGAAGCAATAGCTAACTGGGAGGACTCCATTCTGGATTTATGTATCTTTAGAAACTTAAGATCCTTGAGGGTGAGAATAGGCCGGTTGTCTCTATTTGGCTTGGAAACTTTAAACAGGTTGGAGTGAAAGCCTGGAGACCATCCCTTTCCTGACACAAGTGTGATGACCCTTGGGACAGTAGTCTTTCCAGGGCCGCAATAAACCACTCTTTTTGTGGATGTGAAGGCATGGCCATGCTGTAGGCCAAAACTTCACCCACCACTGCAGGCATGCCCCACAAAGCTGTAAAGGAGTCAACTCCCCTCCAGGGAAGAGCACCATGCCAGCAAGATCACAGGTAACCAGTACACCGGAGGTCACTACCCACAGGATCTAGTGCCAAACGACAGACATTACAGGTCGTCCCTCCTCTTGTATATGGGGTCTGGATACAGTCAGCCTACTGGCCATAGTGACCAATCTGGATAGGGTCCACCTCTGCCTTGAAACCGATATAAAGAACAGGCCAGGAGAAGTAGAATCTAAGTTCCCAGACTAAAACTGAGGCTTCACGGAGCTGGGAGGGGATATGCCTGGGCAGGGACTCTGATCTCATTTCTTGCCTGTTCAGAGGTAGACTGCTGGGACTCCCAATCAGTCAGATATGGCCAGAGGGACCAATGGCCCAACCTGTTGTAAGGACTCAAGAAGGTCAGATGCAGACTTTACAGGGCAAGGTGCTGGAGCACTTTCATACGAAACAGGAGGGAATTTGGCCCCACCCGATGGAGCAGACGAAGACTCCAATGATGACAATCCTATAACTAGGGGAATCGGTTTGCAGATTACAGGCATAGATTCTTTCAGAACCTCTAAGGGAGTATGGGCTGAGGTGGCCCATAGCAGCATTGGCACTGTCCCCTCTGTGCAGAGAGGTTTCCTCTGCCTAGAGAAGTGAGAGGCAAGGCCTCAACCCATAAACCTAGCAACTGGTGGCGATGACCAGAGGTGACCAGGACACTAGAGGTCGGCAACAGAACAGACAAAGACTCAAGATGATGGCTCCCCTATGGTGAGTGGTGGGAAAGATAGCGCGGCACACATTGGATGACTTCAGCTCTCAGTCCCTCGGCGTTAACTGCTCTGAATCCAGTGGTGGCCAGAAACTGAAAAATGCCCAATGGTGGAAAAATGAGGCAACATCCTTACTCAAAGGTCTGGGTCACACCCAAGGCAATGCTACAGCCCTGGACTTGGATAGTGCTCTGTGGAAAAGTTCTGGAAAGTGCCACCATGCAGTGCATAGGTCACATTTTATGTCCAGTTCATGGCGGTCCGGGTAAGGCACCCCAGAGCTGGGCTGAGGAGAGGCTGCTGAAACTTGGTTGGACTTCTCTCAGCAAAGGGGGGGGGGGGGGGGGGGGGGGGGGGGGGGGGGGGGGGGGGGGGGGGGGGGGGGGGGGGGGGGGGGGGGGGGGGGGGGGGGGGGGGGGGGGGGGGGGGGGGGGGGGGGGGGGGGGGGGGGGGGGGGGGGGGGGGGGGGGGGGGGGGGGGGGGGGGGGGGGGGGGGGGGGGGGGGGGGGGGGGGGGGGGGGGGGGGGGGGGGGGGGGGGGGGGGGGGGGGGGGGGGGGGGGGGGGGGGGGGGGGGGGGGGGGGGGGGGGGGGGGGGGGGGGGGGGGGGGGGGGGGGGGGGGGGGGGGGGGGGGGGGGGGGGGGGGGGGGGGGGGGGGGGGGGGGGGGGGGGGGGGGGGGGGGGGGGGGGGGGGGGGGGGGGGGGGGGGGGGGGGGGGGGGGGGGGGGGGGGGGGGGGGGGGGGGGGGGGGGGGGGGGGGGGGGGGGGGGGGGGGGGGGGGGGGGGGGGGGGGGGGGGGGGGGGGGGGGGGGGGGGGGGGGGGGGGGGGGGGGGGGGGGGGGGGGGGGGGGGGGGGGGGGGGGGGGGGGGGGGGGGGGGGGGGGGGGGGGGGGGGGGGGGGGGGGGGGGGGGGGGGGGGGGGGGGGGGGGGGGGGGGGGGGGGGGGGGGGGGGGGGGGGGGGGGGGGGGGGGGGGGGGGGGGGGGGGGGGGGGGGGGGGGGGGGGGGGGGGGGGGGGGGGGGGGGGGGGGGGGGGGGGGGGGGGGGGGGGGGGGGGGGGGGGGGGGGGGGGGGGGGGGGGGGGGGGGGGGGGGGGGGGGGGGGGGGGGGGGGGGGGGGGGGGGGGGGGGGGGGGGGGGGGGGGGGGGGGGGGGGGGGGGGGGGGGGGGGGGGGGGGGGG